TTCTTTTTAAAAAGAAATGAATAAATGAAAGAATACACAAGCTGTTCCAGCACTCATTATTTGTACCATGTTTGGATTTTATATGCTCTTGTATTGTTATTGTTAATTTACGTCTGACAATTTTACTTCCTCATCTGAAGTGAAAGCAGGCATTGTGATTTGTACTTTAGGACTAAGGAGAGGAGCACTGAGCTGAGGAAAAGGACTTTTCTCCCCTTTGTTTCACCTTGAAAAATGTTTGTCATTGAATGAAGCAACATATGAACACACTGTTGTCATCAGTTCAAACATAGCCACATAAAATGAAAACCTGAAGCTCCCAGAAGAAATTAATGACGGTGGAATCAATCTCTCTCTCTCTCTCTCTTTCTCTCTCTCTCTCTCTCATACACACACACACACAGAGAGAGAGAGAGAGAGAGAGAGAGAGAGAGTTATAGTGTTGTCATACTTAAAATACATTATCAATGGCTGTTTGTAAAAAATTTAATTTTTACATATTAAATTTGACTTGGAAAAGGTTCTATGTGGAAATACACAGGTCTACTTCCCTATTTCTAATAGAAGTGGTGTCTTTTAGGAGGATTCAGATGATGGTTTTCAGACTGTGGTCCATGAACACCTAGGGAAATCCAGGCACCTTTAGGGCATCCTCAAGGTCAGTCGAGGTGCTGACCTTTGCAGTGATGGTGCTGACCTTTGCAGCAGTGGTGCAGGAGCAAGGGAGTGCAATCTGCTGGGCCTCTGCACTGTCCTGGTGGCCACTGTAGTCCTCATCACCAGGCACTAGCAGTGGCAATTTTAAAAAGCCATTTTCACTTAAGAATGTCTTGGTGAAGCAGTGGAAATTACCACTGTATGAAATCTCAGTGTGGTTGTCTCTTCAGCGGTCTGCAGGAGCAACTGGAAAATGATCAAAAGCCCTCTTGATGCGTGTTGAGATGCCGTGCTTATCTGGAGAAGGGCTTTCATCTGATGGGATTGCAAGCCTGATGAGCTGCTTTCCTCCTGGAGCATCATTTTTTCTTGCAAAGGACAACTGACAAATGGGTGATGGATCTTCCTGGACTTGGACGTTTGGCTAACATTTCTGCAGGAATCAACCAAGCAAACCTGGCACTTCAAGGAAAGTGACTGGCAGCATTTGTTGCCAATGATTTAATTCTGGTTTTCAACAAAACATTAGAATTTAGAAAATGTGTATGTGTCACCTTCAGTGTGATAACCTCCCAGCCTCTAAAGATTTATTTGCTGTGGATATAGATTTTTTTGTTGTGGTGATGCTGCTGGGGAGGGGACACAGGGCCTCGCACATATTAGGCAAATGCTCTACCACTGAGCTACACCTCCAGCCCACTGTGGGTAAAGATTAATAAGTGATTTTTAATATATAATGACACGTTTCAACATTTGGAAGTTCTGTATAATGCAGTGAACCAATATTTTCCAAATAACAAAAGTGTTATGTTACAAATTCATGCATAGATAAAAGAGTCATTCAAAGTACAAGACAGACAGAACAATGGATTTTAATGTAACAGAGTATAAAAAAAATCTGATATGAATTCAGATTCCACATCATAAATACAATTAAGAAACTACCACTTATGTAGTGTTATCGTGTTATGTAGTGTTATCGTGTTATGTAACAGTAAAATAGAACATCCAGTGATCTGAAAAAGACTATTAAGATATTCCTCTCTAAAAGCTGCACACATCTGTGAGGCCAGCTCATCTTTAACCACTGCAACCTAACCATCAGACCCTGGCTGGGCTGAAGCAGAAGCTGGCATGAGAATCTAGCTGTAAATGTAAAATGCTGCTGCTCTTCTCATGAAACCATTTTTGTTTGAAAAAAATACAATTGTTTTCCATGGAAGTATACTTTTTATAATTAACATGTAATGAGTAATGAATGCATGACTAAAAACTTTTGTCAGTCTTAATTTCAAATATAGTAAGTATTGATAGATACAATTCACATAATTAAAAGCTCTTTGAGGTCTTCGATAACTTTTAAGAACATAAAAATACACTAAGACCAAAGAGTTTGGAAACTGTTTCTATAGCTCTTTGACCTAGAGGCTAGTTGTTACTTGACTTTGCCTTGGCCAGAACAGACAGCTTAAGAGTCATTCAAAGAGCAAAGGTCCCTGCATTATCTGCACACACACACACACACACACCCTACTTTCTTATCCTAGGAAACTTGATACACAGGTATGTTAAAATTAAGTATAAATTTGAATCAACACAATAAAGACAAAAGAGAATCAAATGACAGAATTTATAATGCCCATTTAGGAAACTCTGTAGTCCTGTTTTTGTTTGATTTTTTCCCTATTTTTTATTGGTGCCTGATAGTTGCACACAATGGTGAGAATCATTGTTCCATGTTTGCACATGCACACAGTATATATGTGTAAAATATGATTCGGCCAATATTATCCCCCAGCGTTTCTCCCATCTCTCCTCTTTCCCCTCCACCCCTGGTCCCTTTCCTCTACTCTACTGCTCTTCCTTTGATTTTCATGGGATCTACCTAACCTTTCTTTTCCTTTTGCTTCTGTAGAGAAGCCTTGTTTTATAATCTCAGAGATCTCCAGTGTTTTCTAGGAAAATGTCTTTTGTTGCCTTGCTACTCAGGATTGTGGCCCATGGACCCAGAGTCTTGGCATTTTCTACAGCTTGTTAGAGATTCAAAATCATGGTTCCTCCTTCCAGACTAAGTCAGAGTATACATTCTAAGAAGATTCTGAATGTGTTAGTCAGTTTTCTGTCACTGTGACAAAATACCTAAGGTGAATAACTCATAAGGAGGAAAAGTTCACTTAGATTTCAGTCCGTGGTTGCTTGGCCCCACTGCCTTGGGGCCTATGGCAAGGCAGAACATCATGGTGGGAGTGCATGGAGAGCAAAGCTACCCACTTCATGGCACCAGGAAGCAAGGGGGGGCGGAGAGAAAGAGAGAGAGAGAGAGGAGGCACCAGGGTCCCCACACCCCCTTCCAGGGCAGTCCCGGTGATTTAACTACCTTCCACCAGGCCCCGCCTCCTAAAAGTCTCACCACCTCCCAATGGTGCTGCAGGCTGGTAACAAAGCCTCCATCACCTGGACCTTCAGGGGACACTTCAGATCCATAGGTGACACTGGGGTGAATTTTATTCACGTTGAAGATTGTGAAGCCTGCTATTGTTCGAGAATTTACAGTCTGGAGTCTAAAATTCAAAAGGACTTTTAATTTCCAGAATGGTTGGCATGTTATTTGGATTCATTCTTCTACTGAAAGGAAGGAAAACATATGGATAAAGGAAGTGAAACATATGTTTCATAAAAGCACTCAAGAGATATTAAGACAGCAAGAAACCACCATACCAGAAAAGTAAGTCTGAATTAAAGATGCCCTGAGGTAATTTGCTAAAGCCAGAAAACTAAAACCCAAGTCTGACAGATTTTCCCTAAGAGAAATGCAGAATTAAGATCTGGAAATAGAAAGCTCCTGGGTCAGGAACTCTGAAGCCTGGAACATAGTAATGTCTCAAGTGTCTGGAAAAAACAAATGCAAATCCTCTTCCAGGAAGGTATTTTTATCCTGGGTAGCAAGTTATTCCTACAAGTAATTTTTAAATACAGTGACCAGAATTGTCATAGGTACTCAGACACTCAAGGAAACTCATTTCTCTGAGCAAGAACTAGACTATGAGATGCCTAGTAGATAAAAGTCAGACTTGAAAATCTGTTCAGACAGTAGGAATCAAAAGTCATATAGAAAATTAAAAATTAATAGAGCATGTAAAAATCATAAAACAAGGTCTCTCAATGGAGATAAAATTAGGTCTCCAAGACCTAAATTCCAAAAGATACACTTCAAGTAGAAAGAAGATAATCCCAAAGTTAATACAATAATTGAAATTAAAACTAAAAAGATGGGTTTCATAGCAGATTTCACATAGCAAAAGAGATATTAGTGAATCGTAAGATAGGTTAGAAGAAATATCCCAGAGTGCAGCAAGGAAATACAAAGAGGTGGAAATTCAGGTGAAAGAGCAAGAGACATGGAGTGGAAAAGTCCAGTAAATATGTGATTGGGGATCTAGAAAGAGGAGAGAAAGACAATGTGGCAGAGGTGATAGTGGCTAAGAATTTCCTGGGGCCAATAAAAGACACCAATCTACAAATTAAAGAATCACAGGGAATCCATGCTGGGTAAGTAAAACGACATCTACATCCAGACATGTCACTGTGAAACTTCAGATAAACCACCCAAAAGTGATGATCTTAGAAATAGCTGGAGAGAAAATTCACCTGTGTGAAGCAGGACTGAAAGCTGATGTCTCAAAGCAATGATAGAAGCCAGAAGATAGTGGAATCCAATCTCCTGAGAATAATTACCAACTTAGACTTCTACACTGCACAAATGTCTCTTAAGAATAAAAGCAAAACAGGGGCTGGGATTGTGGCTTAGTGTAGACTGCTCGCCTAGCATGCATGAGGCACTGGGTTCGATCCTCAACACCACATAAATGTAAAATAAAGATATGTGTCCACCTATAACTAAAAAGTAAATATTAAAAAAAGAATAAAAGCAAAATGAGATAACTTCAAATGAGTACCATTGAGAGACTTTGTCACACAAAGACCTAAATTCGAAAAAATATATTTCAAGTTGAAAAAGATAATCCCAAAGATAATCCTTGTTGGATTGAGTCGAAATTTGGCCTCACACGCACACAGACAGAAACATGGGCACACACACACACACACACACACACACAGTCTCTCTCTCTCTGTCTCTCTCTCTCTCTCTCTCCCTCCCACTTGGGATTCAGCCACATAGATATACAGACCTGGGGCTGAGGTTGTGGCTCAGTGGTGGAGCGCTTGCCTAGCACGCGTGAGGTGCTGGGTTCCAGCCTCAGCACCATATAAACTAAATAAATAAATACATAAAGGTATTGTGTCCATCTATAGCTAAAAAAAAATACATTAAAAAATATACAGTGCTCGCTTGGGCAGCACATATACTAAAATTGGAATGATACAGAAAAGATTAGCAAGGCCCCCTGATTAGCAAGGATGACAGGCAAATCCGTGAAGCATTCCATGAACACACACACACACACACACACACACACACACCTTTTAGTGTTACTCCCCTCCCCCACCAAGAGTTGAGTTTTTGCCACCTGCACCCAGAGACACGTACACATACTCTGCTATTCCACAAGCTGCCCTTCCCTGCTTGATGGTGGTGACTAGCTGGGAATGACAGGAGCGGAGGTGGCAGGGAGGCCCAGGCTTGGACCTGTCCTGCCAGGATCAGTGTCAGGAAGCACCACACACTTGGGGATAAAGCCCACTCCACACTGTAGCTGGCAGCCTCCACACTGTAGCTGGCCCCTCTAATGGAGGGGCCTATGGAATAGACCATGCTTGTTTTTTCTAAAAAGTGCTGCAGTAAAATCTCTCGCGCGTGGAAGCTGTAATCAGTCCAGCTCACCACGCTTCGTGTCCTGGGTGTGGTGTGGTGTGCTATGGGAACTCAGGCTGGAGCTGAGCAGGGTGGACTTCTGACCTAGATTTGATGTGCTGTCCACCCTGTGGGCCTAGGTCTCCTCACCTGTAAAGCAGGGATACTGATGTCAACCCCATTCATGAAGGGTGGTACCTAGAACACAGTTGGGTACAGGAAGATTCCCCCAAACTGGTGGTTTGCTGGGGGCAGATCCCCACCCTCAGTATCCTGAGAATTAGTAGTAACCTGGCATGAAAGCCAGAGATGCCAACAATACTCACAATTCCTCTGGCATCATGGGGACACTGACTCCAAGATACAAGCATGACACAGCTTGAACACACAGGCACACGGGGCGCAGCAGGGTGGCCCCAAAGGCTGCATCCAGCAGGGCTCAGGTGGCTCCTTGCACATCTCCTTCTTTCCACAAGCCCCTGGGGTTGGTGGAGCAGGAAGGGTGAGAAGTCACCCTGCTGTGCTGCCTCCTTGGAATCTGTCAGAGAGCCACCACATCCTCAGTGGAGGAAGAAAGGCAAAGTGGAGATCAAGGTCCTCAAGCCTTTAAGTGATGAGAGAGAATTCAGGCCCAGGGCGCTCTCTCAATTTTAATTTTAATTTTTTCTGGTACTGAGCTACATCTTTTTATTTTTAAAATCTTGCTACAGGGTCTTGCTAAGTTGCTCAGGTTGACCTTAAACTTGTGATCCTCCTGCCTCAGCCTACTGGGTCACTGGGATGACAGGTGTACACCTCTGCATCTGGCTAATTTGAATTTTTTCAGGTTGACACCTAATAGTACTTACTTTTGGTAGATGACCTTATGATTTTTACATGTGTTTACTGTTAAATGATCAAGTCAGCATCACTAGCATTTCCACTGCCTCAGGTTATCATCCTACATTTTGGGGCCTTCACATTCTTCCCTCTAGTTATCTTGGGATGTGTAGTTATATGTCCTAGACAAGACCATCACTTTCTAACTCCCGCAGCTACACCCTCCACATTCTGCCCAGTCCCTCGCCCCTGAGATGTGAGGAGAGGATGCGGTTGGGGGTCCAGGCCTGGTCAGGGTTGCAGCTGTGTCACTAACTCACATAAAACACCCTTCTCTTGGCCTCAGTTGCCCATTTGTGACAGAGAGGGATCCGACTCTAAAGTCTGCAAGGTTCTCTCTGGCTCCAACACTTTGATTTGATACCTTCTGGAAGAGGTTTGGGACCTCGAAAAAAGAGGCCAGCTGCTCTGGGTTTGCCCAGCTCGGAGGCCCGACGGAGGCCCTGGGGGCTTTGGCTCCACCGATTTCGGGCCTCAGGAGTTCTTCCCCAGGCCGGGCCAGCCGCTGTGCTTTCTCACCCTTCCATTCCGGTCTATATGACAAAATGACTAAAAATACCGTGCTGCCCACGGGCCGCCATCCGGCCAGGGCCCTCCCTTGCACCGATTCATTTCCAGTCTTAGGTGTGCCACAGATGAGAGCCCGGGACAGGCCACGTCTGGAAATTCTGAGTCTCAGTCCCGCTGCTCTGGCTAGGCAGAGTGGCCAGGCCAAGCAGGAAGAGTCCTGGGCACTTTCCACTGTGCAGCTGGGTGAATTTGGCACCACTGGACCTCAGTGTCCTTATCTAGAAAATGGGGGTGACTGTCCCCTTGTTGTTATTCCGTGGGAATCATGTGACATAGTGTGGGTGAGAGAGAGGCCTGACGCAGGCTGAGGGCTGGATCTATGTCAGTTCCCATTTCCCCTGGTCCCTCCTCCTACTCTGCCCTTTCTGGAGGGTCCTCTTACTAGGAAACCATGGCCCTGGCTAGCTCGGGCTCCAGCTGACCCAGTCTTGGGCGAGCTCTGCAGACAGGCCTTATTTGTTGTTTGCTATGGTCACAATGATGAATGGTGTGGGGACCTCAGGTGATGAAGGTACTCAGGGGCAGGCTGCAAGCCTTCATTGAGGGTCTGAGCACCTCATGTCCCCTCATTGTCCCCCCACTTCACAGCAGCTTAAGCCACCACACGCTGGTGCCTCTAGTCTCTGTGGTGAGTTCTGTGGAGCCCAGTAGACGGGTAATTAAAGGGTGAGATCAAAGGCAGAGGGTGGGGGGACTCTGCCTGAGGTGACCCCAGGCTCATTGTTTAAACTTCCAGACTCCTAGCTGTCTCCTCTGCAAAGAGAAAAACATAACCTCTCCCCCCACACAGGAGGTGGGGCCCGAGGAGACAGGAACGGGGCACACACACGCGTACACATGCCTGTGGTGACTTAAGCTGCCGTGACGTAGGGGACACACGTTCACCAAATGTTCAATGTAGCCTGCACTCAGGTCACGCCTGCTCTGTGGAGAGGTGGTCACCCTGCCACTTCTGGTCCCTGAGGTGGGACACCCGCCTCGTGTGCTTGATGGCCTGCAAGGTGCTCATCACAATCCAGGCCCTCATTAATCCTCCGTGTTCCTGGGCCTCGGCACCGTTGGCTGCCACCAGGAAGCCTGTGTCGTGACCTCTCAGGTTCTAGAACAGAGGCCAGCCAACCTGCCCGTGACCCTAAGTGCTCCCCTGTGAGTCAGCACAGGAGGGTGGAGTGCTGCTGTCCACGTGCAGCGAGGACAGAGGGAAGCTCGCCTCTCTCCTCTGTCACTTTTCTCTTGTGGTGCAGGGGACGGAACTCAGGGCCTCAGGCCTGCCAGCAGGTGCTCTCCCACTGAGCCCACCCTGGCCCTCCTTTCACTTCCGTGTTGTGCCTGGGTGTTAAAGAAGGTGTGCTGTGAAAACGCAGGAGCACCTCCTGCCCTGCCTGCCCGAAGCTGCCACTCTCAGTCTGTCCACCTGCTTCTGGTGTGGACTCTACTTCAGCTGACACACTTGCAAAATTGCTCTTGACTCTTTCGGTGTGGACACAATCACTGACTTCTCATCACCGGAGAATGGAAATTGAGTTCACCTGCCCTTAGCTCTCCTGAGACAGGTGAAGCCTTCCTGTGTCTCTTCCTTCCTATGAACCAGGATTTAACTTTGACATTCTATAGTCACTGTACCTCCTTTAGCCAAGGAAACACGGCTATAGTTTGTTTGTTTTTTTAAACAATGTAGTAAATGATGACTGCTTTTTCTTCCCTGCAAGAATTTTTTTAATCCCTGAAGCTAATAATTGTCTCTTTTGATTGTTTGATTTTCAGTATATTAATCACTCCAGACTTTGCACCAGGCATCTCGGGGTCCTCCTGAGACATGCCCAGGCATCACGGCTCTATCCAGTTCCATCTGTCTCTCCAGGCATTTTCCAGCCACCTGACTCTGGGCCCTGTGCCTCGGGTTCTGTTCTCTTCCTTCCAGAGCTGCTGTAAGAAATCCAGCCTACCTCTCTTGTTGTAGGGACAAATGAAGCAAGGCTTGGCTGCAGCCAGGTTCAGGGGGCACAGCTTTTGCTGTAGTCAATCAATCCCCTGAACCCCGAGTTCAGGGAGTTTCAAAATTTTATACCCAGCATGTAAGGGGAGGGGCTCAGAAGTTCAGTCTGCAGAAGTTCACATAAAGCAGCTTTTTCTTTCACTGTTTTGGGCAAGTTAACCCTTCAAGGACAACACCTGAGAAGGGGAGAGCTTCTTCTCCCCTTTCTTTCCTCCCCCTGCCAGCTGTTACCATGGAGCCATTTATAACTTATCTTAAAAATGTAGACATCTCTGTGAAGCCCCAGCTCAAGGCCAGAGGCCTTGTTTGCACATTTCTTCAAAGTACTATACTGGATATGTTTGTGAAAAACTAGTAAGGGGGTGTCCAGCACCTGGAGTGCTGGTGTCTTCTTGGCCAGTGGCCAAGTAAACAGGGCAACACGAAAATAGGAAGTTTATCTACATTGGACTATGCTGCAGAGACTCTTTTGCTGACAGTCCTAAAATCAGCCGTGGTGAAGAGGGCTTTTCTGTGGAGAAAGGGGGTGCCACTTCACTCTCTCTGCCCCTGGCCACCACGAGGTGAGCAGATTTGTTCCATCACACGCTTGTCACCATGGTACTAGGCCTCATGTCGGGCCTGAATCATCAGAGCTATGCAGAGCAGGCAGTGGCCTGCTCTGAGTTACTCCATCATGTGTAGAGCATTCTTCAGGCTGTGCCTAGACTTGAGTTACTCCACTTTGTGTTTAAGTGCTGAGGTGGAAGGACTCCACGCCTTGTTTGTACGAGTAACCAACCACCATCTGCCTGGCACAACCCTGAGGCATAAACTGATAAATAACTCAATCGTGCTAATAAGAAAGACCACCCATGAACTTACCAAATCAATCAAAAGCACATGGGTGCATGAGTGTATCAAACTCATATCAAAAACCCAGGCCCACGAGCTTATCAACACACCAGGTAACCAAATGACTGACTCAAGCCCCTCACTTGAGACCTGTAAAAGGAGGCACACCTTGAGACTGGACACAATAGCACACAGCACAGGGGTATGGATTCCCCCAAATGGGCAACAATTACACAAAGAACGGGGCCCAAAGAGGTGCAGCCAAGATTTCTTACCAATACAGCCTCCTGCCCAGTCCCCCCAAAAGGCCAAGACTTAATCATTTTAGTGCATTAGGTTCTGAGCCCATCCGTCCACCCCTC